CAGATTCGCATCCCAGAAGGGGTGTCTTCCTTGGAGCCACCTCTGTGAACTGTCTCCTGTCTCTCCCCACCCCCAGACTGGCTGCCCTTTTCTCAGTGAGTGAAGCCCTGACCCCAATTTCGTACACACTCCCACCCGTTCTGCTTCATTTTTCTTGGTGCCATCTGACAGTTATAACTTGTTAAATATTTTTATATATGTAGCTATTACTTCTGTCTTCTGCCAACAGAAGGCAGACATCTTTGCCTGTTTTCCTAGCAGTTTCTGATACACAATGTTCAATATGTGTGTTGAAGGAAAGAAGGGAAAAGGGAGAGTTCTGGAAGGTGCACTGAGCAGGTGCAGATGGAGCGGGGGCAGCGCACTGTGGAAGGAAAATGGGGCTGTGAAGGGAGGGCCACATGGGGTGGTGGGGAGGGACGCCGGGGATAGGGCTCCACATCCTTCCACTGCGTTCCCCTCTCACCTGGACGAGTCCCTCCGGGGACTTTTCTGGGCACCTGCCATGGCTCCTCGCCCCTTTCCAGATGGGAGATCACGTCTGGCTTGCAGACCAGAGGTCCTGCTTGTGGGGAGGAAGTGGCATGGCTCTGTGTGCTGCAGTTCTCCAGAACCAGCCAACAGGACGGCCCCCAGAGGCGTGTGCTATCCCTCACGACAGAGGTCTCAGAATCAGAACCCAAACTGAGGCACACACTCTGAGGACCCCATGGGTGTGGACACCTCCCCTCCATCTCCCTTGGAAAGCTCCAGGGCAGGCTGGGCTCCCAGGACCCTGCCCAACCCCTCCCTCTTATCCCGGCCCATCTCACAACCAGCCACACCTCCAGGCAAGGATGCCAGTGGCACTTCAGAGCCCTGCCACAATGGCCTGGATGCAGAGACCACAACCCCCACACCCTGCCGAGCCCGGCACCAGGGCTGGTGCCAAAGGGAGCCTTGGTAATACCCATGGCGTGGCCAGACTGCAGACACCAAGCCTTGGGGAGCCATCTTACCCAGGGCGAGAAGGTTCTGATAGTTCTCCAGCATTACGTCCCGGTACAGGGCTCTCTGAGGGGAGTCCAGCTGGCCCCACTCTTCCTGGGTAAAGTCCACGGCCACATCCTTGAAAGTCACTGATTCCTGGAATGACATGCACGTTGTCACTCACCCAGGATGGTTCTGATTGCATTTGTGTTTCCAAGGGAGTAAAGGGTTAACCTTGGTTGTGCTTAGATGCCATCTGTCATACAGCTCCAACGTACACACCACGGCTGGGCCGGAATCGCCATGTGGACCCGTCCTTCTGGACCAGGAGGGCCCAGATAACTGGGCCGCCCACATACGGGTGCTGCAGTGGACAGGAAGCTGCTGTGACAGTTCTGGGTAAGATGCTATGTTTACCAGGGTCAAGAGTGTCAAGCTTGGAGAACTTGAAAGAATAATACAAAGAACCCAGAAACCCTGTTCAAATCACACCACTGCAAAAGGACTGGAGTTCACATAGAAAGAAAGCCATTATTATTATACCCTAAGGAAGGAAACCCTATACATATCAGTAAGTTCTATGCCCATGGGACAAAAGGAGCCACTCCGTGTCCTTCCTGCCCTCCCCACTCCTTCCCACCAGAACCCCTGCTCCTCTGCCCTCCCCAGGCCTGAGTCCTGGCCCACCCCTCCCTTGACCTACTCCCACCCTCCCGCAATGCCAGTCACTGATTGCAAGGTAACCCTTCCACCCACTTGGTTACTCCAGTTCCAAGTGTCACAAATGCCCCAAATGGCTCCACTTGTACTCATGCCCTTGAACCCTAGGCTCTTCTGCCACCTGGGGCTCCGTACCCCCTCTGGAGACTCCAAGCTGCCGCCCCTAATGGTCTCCACACCGATCACGTTCCAACCCCGCTCTGGATCCTCTCTTGCCAGGAAATAAGCTCCCAAGGCCCATCAGGGCTCTTACCTCAGGAGGCAGGGTAGGCAGGCTGCTTTCTAAGCAGCGGCTGACTAACTGCGCTCTCTTCAAAGATGCTGGTGCCATGGCAGCCTGGCTTAAACTGCAGTGAGGGTATAATTAAGTTAGACATAAGAGGGAAGACTAAACCAAGGGAGGCCTGGTTCCTACCTTGTAAACATTTTCTGGGGATTGCCTGGTATGGGGCCAGGATCCCAGGGACCACCAGATTTCTGCAGAAGCTCTGGACCCACATCAACACCCAGAGTCAGGCAAGGGGTGCAGAGAGTCAAGCCTTGAGGTGAGGCCTCATGCCTAGCAGGTGCCTTCCAGGCACTCAGTAAAAGCAGGGATCTCTTCTGGAATAACAGGAATTTCGACCGTTACTTCTAAAAGTGACTTATACTCAGGCCGGCCGAGTGGCTCAGTTGGTTAGAGCGCAAGCTCTGAGCAACAGGGTCACCGGTTTGATTCCCACATGGGCCAGTGAGCTGCGCCTGAGCTGAGCTGCTGCTGAGCTGCCAACAGGTGGTAGGATGGCTCAGCTGGTGAGAGCACATGCTCATAACAACAAGGTTGCTGGTTCACTCCTGCATGGGATGGTGGGCTACGCCTACCCACAACTAAGATTGAACACGGCACCTTGAGATGAGCAGCCACGAGCTGCCGATAGGTGGCCAGATGGCGACTGGACTTGGAGCTGAGCTAGCTGTGCCCTCCACAACTAAGATTGAAGGACAACAACTTGACTGTTTCCCTTTCCCAATTCCCCAACACTGTTCCCCTTCCCCAATAAAAAATAAATAAATAAATAAATAAATAAATAAAAGTGACTCATACTTTTAGATAGTTATCAGTGTTGCTGCAGACTGAATTGTGTCTCCCTGAAATTCATATGTTGAAGCCCTAACCCCCATTGTGACTGTATTTGGACATGGGTTCTTAGGAGATAACTGAGGTTACATGGGGTCATTAGGGTGGTGCCCTAATCCGATAGGACTGGTGTCCTTATGAGAAGAGGACAAAAAAAAGGGGACAGAGATCTCTATGTGTGTGCGCACAGAGGAAAGGCCATGTGAGGATCAGGGGGGAAAAGGCGGCCATCTGCAAGCTAGGAAGACAGCCCTCACCAGGAACCAACCCTGCTGCACCCTGATCTCAGACTGGTTCCAGTCTCCGAAACTATGAGGAATAAGTGTATGTTGTTTAAGACCCCAGTCTGTGGTATTTTATTATGGCAGCCCGAGGTAAGATAAATGTCAACATAAAAAGTAAGAAAGATTAAACCACTCTTCACATCACATACGACACAGCTCCAGGTGGAGCAAAGATCTGAACGTGAGACATCTGGGGACAGTTCTGTGAATCCTTGGGCGGTAGAGACTGTAAGCGCAACACGAAACCCAGAAACCATGAGGAGAAGATTTATATTTGCTCCAGGAGAGTTTACATTTTCTACATGGAATGCTGACAAGTCACTAAGAAAAACGAGAAAAATGGGCATAGGCTATAAACAGACAATTCACAGAAGACTCATAAACAGCTGTTAAGCCCGTGAGGAGACAGTCAATCTCACCAGACATCCAGAAATGAGAAATAAAACAGCGAGATACCATTTATCATATAGCAGAGAGGCCAAACGTTTCAAGTCTGAACATACCAAAGGTGGGCTGGTCCACAGGGAAACGGGGTGGTCTGACTCCGCTGGGCAGGTGTGTGTTGGGGCACATATATTTTACCATCTCTAGTAAAGTTGAGAGTATGCATTCCCTGTGCCTTGAAAGTCCACTCTGAGATTCCTACCCAGCCTAGAGGGACTGAGAAAACACTGGAAACAAACTGAACGCCCATCAGTAGGGAGGGAATATAAACAATACCGTGCAGCAGTGAAAACGGAAGACAGACCTGTCCCCATGGGGATCTCTTAAGAACACAGTTATGGGTACAAAGCAGGCTGAGGGGACCATGCCTGGTGTGATGCCCTTCACGGAACCATCTAGAAGCATACACAGCACCATGTGCAGTTTACAAATACTCAGATGCATATGTTACTCCACCATCTGGCAGACAAGGGCACGTGCTCTAAGCGTGATGGCCTGGGTGGGCTCCACCCTCTTGCCCTCACTAGCTATGTGAGTGAAGGGGTGCCTCAGTTTCCCTGACTGTGAAATGAGATGCTGATAGTACCTATATCACTGCCTCGCAATGAGGGTTAAATGAGTTACTACCACATATGTAGTGCACATCAGAGTGCACTATGGTGTTTGCTCAGTCATCATCCTCTGATACCACATGGACTGAGGAGGGCAGGAGAGAAAAGAGACAAGAAGACACAAAAAGCACTTTGCCTTTACTCATAATGTTTCATTTTTCAAAAACGATCTGAAGCCAATATGATAAAATTCACACATTTGTTAATTTTGTAAAGTAGATACCCAGAAGGTTGTTATTACTCTGCTTTAAATGTTTTGAAATTTAAAAACAAGAAAAGCCATTCAAGGAGTAGGGAATGCAAACTTCCAATAGATTTATAAAGAGATCGGTGATTTTTGTCAGGAAAATGCAAACTGAAACAAAAATAACACTTTTTACCTATCAGAGTAGCACTAATTAAATAAAACCTGGTAACCTGGCAATGAGAAACCATTGTAGGCGGGAGTGGGAACCACTATATCCACTTAGGTATTTACACCAAACAAACAAGAGTTCCTGCACATAAGGAAGCAAATGCAAGGTTGGGTACTGCAGCACCGTACTTACCAAAAACCAAAAATCGACCAAGCACGGCATTAGAATGGTTGACTAAATTAGGGTACCGGCATGTGGACAGACCATGGAGAATAATGCAGCTTTCCAAAGGAATGCATTGCACACTCTGCTAAATGAAGGAAGCCAGACAAAGAAGGCCACGTATTGTATGACCTCATTTGTATGCAATGCCCAGAATAAG